TACCCTAAGCTAGGTTGGAAACATCTAGGCTTCAGTTATTACTGGAGCTGTATTCATTCTAAAACCACATCCAGTAATGCATTCATATTATGTAAAACATAATGCCACTGGTGTGAAGTGGCAAATCAAATTACTCTGAAAGCAAATAAAAAACAAATTTTATGTAAGAAATTTTAATTTGCAATAATTAACTGTTCTAAACCTGGATGATTTAACTATAAAGAAAAAAAAAATAAAGTAATTTAGAAATAATTTAAACAGTACCTGAATAATATGCACATATGAAATTGAAAGATACTGTTAGAAATGGAAGACAAGATGCACCAAATCATTACATGGTAATGACCACATAACTGTAATGGAGATTTTCTGATCTACCCAGAATAACAAACACATGATATCTCAGATATTGAAAAGCATTTTCACCTTACTTACACCTCCAGACAGGTCAATTAATACATGCAGTAGTAGTAGTGGTACTGGTACTACTTTGATCCAGTAGTAGTCTGGATCAAATAAGTTAGACAAGCAACTGTGGAAAATGCAGTGATAGAACCCAAAAGATGTAACAACTGCACAGGCAGCAGGTTAATTGGGAATTTGATAACAGAGGAAAATATACTGAAAACATGGAGCGTGGGAGGTGGTCAGGCTTCAAATCCTGAACACATGTACTAGAAGATGCATCTGGAGACACCACAGTGATTAGGATCATCAAGCCCATCTAAGCCACCATTCTAAGATGGAAATACCCAAGGTAAAATTACTAGATACAACAATGTAAGAGGAAATGTAAAACTGAATCAAAAACACTTTGGCTACCATATTTTGTACAAAACTTATGGGGAATAAATCAGTACTGACAGAGCACCAAGAAGCTGCATATTTGAACTGTGGTAACAGAAATTAAGTCTACTAAAAAGGCTAGAGGTTTACATTAGAAATTATTCACAGCTGTACCAGGCTCTACATTGACATCCTGGTTCGGCTATCTCCTTGAAGATTTCAAAGCTTCTTTCAAGCTTCATAGAGGAGAAAACTTGAAGGGCTTGGATAGGGCTGTGGTCAACCTAACCTAGCTGAAGATGTCCCTGCTCACTGCAGGGAGATTGAACTAGATGACTTTTAAAGGTCCATTCCAACTCATAACCATTCTATGATTTTTTTTTTTTTTTTTTTTTTTTTTTTTTTTTGTGTGGTTATATCACAGTAACTTGTTTCCCACTCTCTGCCCTCTTCTATCTCAAAAAGAAACAGAAATCAAAATTACAATTAGAAGAGAAAAGCCTTAAGGCTTCTAGACCAAATCCTTCCAGACCATTTTGATCTAATTACATAATTAACAGATGAAAGTTATGGATTTCAGTAAAGTCTTTGACAAATCATCTTAAAACTAAAGACATGATATATCCCAGATATATGTACAACCACCCATAGGAATACAGTCAGCTACATCATATTGTGAAGCCAGTGATTATAATTTGGCCTTATTTTTTAATGTATCTTTTAATCAATCATCTGCAAGCATGGACAATATATTCGATTAGTCTAATACCAAGATATAGCATGAAATATGCCTCCATAGGATCAAAAGAACGGCTGATAACCGTCAACATTCCTACTTAAAATAGATAAGTCCACAGAATGAAATTGCACAACAATGGACTAGAGTGCATATATCATACTATATGACATGTATTAGGTCTTCAAACAGAAAAACAACACTCGCAGTTTGCCTGTCCTTATAGACACAGTTGCAGCACAAAGCCACTGAGAAGAGATTCAGAAACTTGAGACTATAAAGAAAATAAAGGCATTTGAAGAAATAACCTAAGATGATAGGCTTAAAAAGAGGTGAGGAAATGATGTGAATGCTATCTCAAATAACTGACAGATGTCTAGATTAAGAAGCAAGACAGTGATTTACCTGTAAGCAGCAACAGAGCGTTTGCAAAGAGAACAATTAGCCTTGACACAGGCAAAAGACGAGATGATGACTTAGGCTGAAGGAATAAACTGCTGAATGCAGCTTGAGAAGCTTCAAGAGTAGAATGATCATACATAGAGCCATCTTAACCTGAAGTCACTGCAAAGAAAATTAATCAAGTCCAATATGATTTAACAAGTCTGTGATGATCTATCTGCTGGTAAATCGAGTCTGAATTGTCCTTGATTTTTCTGTCCTTTAAATTTCTCCATGATTTCATTACTTAGGTTTCAGAATTCAAGAAGGAAATCAAGATATAGGCCAAATCTCTTCTATTGCTTTCCTTTAACCCAAGCCAAGTCAATACTCTTTAAAAATGAGGGAGTATATGAAGTTACCATCTTCTGTGATGATTCAGACCGGATAAAAGGAAGAAATTTTTTGTAAGAGCAGTGAAACACTAGCACAGCTTGCCCAGAGAGGTCATAGATGCCCCAGTCCCTGGAAACATCCAGTCAGGTTAGGTAGGGCTCTGTGCAACCTAATATAGCTAAAGATGTCCCTGCTCACCACAGAAGCGTTGGACTAGATGACCTTCCAGCCCAAAGGTCCCTTCCATCCCAAACTATTCTATGATTCTAAAAAAACCAAACTAAACCCAAAACCACCTTATTTGGCATATGACATGAATATAATAAGAAATTTAAAGAAAGATTTGGCTAGAGTTTCATCTGAAGGAGCCCAGGGGAACCTCTACAGCCAACCTGATGGTGTTTGCTCAAATTGAAAAAAGGGACATTCCACTCCTCAGTCACCAAATCTCCAAGAGATTTCACTGGATTCAGCAGATAGCACAGTCATGGAAGAATAGTTTGTGTTGTGCATCTGTACTGTTTTGTAGGCTCTATAGTATATTCTGAGTAACTCGGAGATTCCTAATGTCCATGCCTGCCCTGGAATCCCTCCGTACCAAAGAATTCAACAGTTTAAAGGGAGTATGTATTAACTTCTACTTTGACTTTGCAAATAGTTGTGGATAGAAGGACTAATCAGCACTTCTCTCACCACCAAAGAAATCTAATACACATCTGCTGGTCTATAAGGTACAAAGATGCTGCACTACAAGCAGCAGCTCAAATAACTCTCTATCCATCTTATTTACAATGTCTACGCTGAATGTAGTAACAGAGCTGTACAGGAAGTTTTCATCTTCATGTTTTGATAATGTTAATTACTCATGGCACTAATCTTCTCTCACACGGTATCTGATTCTAATAAAATTAGTACTTCATAAAATTAGTCCTTCAATGTTAGATCCTAATTAGAGAGAGAGTGTTCATTTGGTCCCATTTCTAAAATACTTGAGTTTTTATGGATATCTGTATCTGAACCACATTTGGCAGTTCAGGTCCACTTCTGGTTCTTCTACATTACAATAATGATGTAATATCCGACCCCCTTTCATAGACAAAATATTCACGTCCATTAAATATGAATCTGGATTAGTGCTTTCAAATTCTAGTTCATGATTAGCAATTTGTCACTAGACTTTTGCTATTCTGTTACATGGCTGGAAGATCTATTCTGTGAATAAGTATATAGAAAACATCATAAGTGAATTAGTACACAAAAACATACCTCAGCTGTTGGTGACACTGACACCTACGGACCTTAAATTCCCACTGATGTTAGAAGAAAGTCTTCAGGTAAACACAGGTCTAGTCTCATAAAATTTCTTAGTTAATAGCTTTGATTGTTTAAAGGGAAACCCATTCTAAAAATAAATAAACTTGATAAATTAAATAAAAGCTTCCATAATTTTTTACATTGCTGAAAAAACACCAAGAGAAAAAGATCTGAGTGTCTTATGAAGTTTACAATGGTATATGATCTATGGTACTATAACATCAAAATTAATCTCATCATTATGTATTTGCCTTCATTGATTAAAGCACGTTTCTCTCAAATGAAAAAGAAAACAAAAATGAATGGGTGAGATCTGAGTCATGACAATACAATCCTCCATCCTAAAAGTCTATAAACTATAAACTGTAAAACTAACTAGTTTATGCTATCAACATGTCATGGATTTTTATTATTCCAGCAAAAATTGCACAAAATGTTCTTTTATCCGCAGACACACCATGGTAGTAGTTCTGAACAAGCATGAGAAATGCCATCTCTAGAGCTGTATGAAACATATGCTTCCACTTCACAAATAACCACTTGGTTTTTTTCTTATTCAGATCTTTTTTTTTTTTAATTGTGATTTTGCTTTTTTCCCCTTGGAGTATCATGCTGCATTAAAAATTCAAAGAGCTTCCCATGCCAGAAAAACAAGGACAATTTAACTTTTCAGTTTTGCATGTGTGTTTATATATTTCACATTGAGTACATTTTAGCATTCAAACCAGATTTGCCACCTTGTGAAACTCATCAAAAATGGTCAAATTGAAAAATGACAAGTGCTCCATTTTCATTAAGTGTAATGAATACTTCTTCCAAAAGTCTGTATCTTTGCAAATGTATTTTGTGCCTCAATTCTCCATCCCCAGGGGACCATTTTTAGATTCAAAATTAAATGCACAGCATGTTGATGCTTTATCGGTTCCTCATTTAGTCAACAGTATCCTGGGCCATTATATGTTGAAAACATGCAAAATTTTCAAGCTTTAAACACTTCTGCAGCAAAAATTTCTTATTAAGATGAGCTGAAAAATTTATAAGTCTTTTTAGGCTTTATTTCTAACGTTCCATACAGCTCTTACTAGAATATGAGCTACAGCCATCATTTTGGATTTGTTCCTTTGAAACAGATTAGACATATTTAACGCTGCATCCTGACTGAGAAAACATCTCACAGTAAAGTTTAACAGAGTGCATTCCTTAGAGAAACTCCTTCAGTTTTCCAGGCTAGAGGAGAGCATTCATTGCTGGAGTGGCTATGTACACTGCTCTGCAGAGCTAAGACAAGATCATAATAATCCCACTCTGCTCATTTTCTACAAGAAATTACATTTCAAAGGTCTGTCTGGCAGAAGTGAAAGTCTGCCTTCTGGGGTCTAGCCCCGTTTCAATTTACCTTATTGACATCCATTCGCAACTTCTCGTTGTTGGCACTGGCAGCTTTTTCTGCCGCTTTCTTTTGACGCTGAGGTCCCCTGCCAAAGAAGATGTAGTTGACCAATGCATACTCCAGAAGAGCCATGAAAACGAAGACAAAACATCCCATAAGGTACATATCGATGGCTTTCACATATGGAATTTTGGGAAGAGTCTCTCGAAGATGGGTGTTAATGGTTGTCATTGTGAGCACAGTTGTGATTCCTGGAAAGAAAGAATTGACAGGTCTACTGATTGAGTTAATTTTAATTTTCTATCGTAAGAGCTTCTAATATTCATATGCTAAGAGTTGAAAAATTCTAGATTTTTTTTCCTTGGCAGAAAAAAAAACCATCCCTAACTTTTTTGTACACCAAAGAAAATTATGTAAGAAATTGCATTCAATCAAATGCAAAGTTAGATATATAACCAGCTAAACTGTGATATTCTCTAAGGAGTCCTAGTTACAAATGCACAGCCTACAGTCACTGTTATCTTGCTTTCTTCCAGCATTTTCAGAATGTCTGCAGTCTTGAATTCTTATGGGAAAATACTACACAGAAAGGCCTGGTAAAATGCAGAAAGTACTCTATAAAGCTGAAATGTCAAATTCTGAACTGTATCTTTTATGGTGATTTACTTGTTTTATCTGTATGAGGCTGTACTGGCATGAATCGGTTTGATTTATACAAAATTTGGCAACAGATACTCATATTTATTTTTGTAACATGCTTGGATCCTCTGATGGGTGGCACAGTATAAACAAACACACACGGGATTAGTGATGGGATATAAGAGCACTCTGGAGATTAATTAGGGAAATGTTTTCGCTTTTAAAATGTAAGATAACAGTAAAGCGAAAAAGCCCTCAAACTTAATGAGAAGTTAGCTATGCAACCCTAGTAAAACTTTCTTTAATTCATACCTGAAAGGAAAAGCAATTTATAATCCATAGCACAGTGCTGAATGTGTATTCTGGACTGCCATGGGCAAAAGCAAAATAAATCCATTCTCTTTGGAAAAAAAACCAAGCAGTAAAACAACAACAGAAAATGTTGAGACAATTAGGCTAATTCTGGTTACAATGATTATACAGTTAGCTAATTCAGACATGAAATCACTTTAATTTTTATTTAAATTGTGATGATTTAAATGCTGATTTAAATAATAGGAAGCTTAACAAGCCATACATAAAAAGATCTAACAGATTTATTTTTCAAATCATGCACTACCAACTAAGCCAGAAGCAAGAAAAAGCATTCAGTTAAAGCACACTACATGAGATGTGTAAAAATGCCTACCTAAAGCAACTCTTGCAGCTGAAGCATCATAATTAATCCAGAAGGAAACCCAGGACAGGATAGTGATCAGAATAGAAGGCATGTAGGTCTGCAGAATGAAGTAACCAATGTTTCTCTTAAGTTTAAAGCTGAGAGACAGCCTTGGGTAGGCACCTAAAAGAGAGTATTTGGCATGGCCGTAATTGACTTGTATAAAGCCTGAAAACCTTCTGTCATTTTGGTTTTATTGTTCCATGCAACACAGAGTACACACAGAGTTGAAAGATCCAGGATAATCAGATGCAGAATCTCTAGCAAGAACTGTGATTAAACTTTTATTCTAAGGGTACAAGGATGCTCTAGGTGCATATCTGCTGGTAATCATACTATTCAACAACCAACAGCCAAACTACAGTTCAGAGCATCAAAGCATAGAAATACTTCTTCCCTGACAAGCTGCAGTATGCCTACATGAGTGTAACCCTTGCTCTAATCTCCCCAAGCAATGTAATACTTGCCCTTTGTCACTGGACACAAGAAAATTTTGATGTGTGAAGCACTTGTTGAAATGGGTGCCTAGAGATCACTAATGCAGTTTTATTTCTGCTTTGTTTTGAAAAATTTGTGATGCACAATCCTTCTGTACTTCCTCCAAAAATTATTTCTACCCAGACCTAGAAAGTGAGTTTTGAAGATGTTTGTTTTAATAACCTAGCAGCTTTCTCAAGTAGGTAGAGAACATCACATAGTAATGGCCCAACCCTACTATTGTATCTCTTGGATGATTTAATGTCATCAAAATGTTATCTTTTTTTTTTTTTTTGTTATTATTTCCTTATGAAATACAATCTTGTTTTCTACTCCTCTTCACAAAGCATCTTTTTAGCCTTCAGAAAGTCATATCTTTCCTGGCATAGGCTAAATTTTGAATTCTGTGGAACAAAGGTTTTAAAAAGTTTTATAACAAAGACAAAATAATTAGTCTAATTCTAGCTGCCACAGCTTGGCACAAGGAACACCTAGAAACAGCAAAAGAGAGTTCCTAAGTTTCCTGCAGGCAGGGCTACTACTTATTGTGTTTAGGGTGCTGAAGTAAGTGGCTTAGTGTTTACAAGAAAACAGAAAATACAGCTTATTTGACTGAGCCTTAAAATGACAGACTACTGTATCCTCTTCATTTGTTAATGAGTGATGCCTTCTACACTCTGAAAGGTGTAATAAAACCTGCTCTTTTCAAAATTCACAATACTGCTCTAATTTATTCATGTTTCTAAACTTTTTGCTCAGTTCAAGAACTGTACATTAAGAATTAACCCAATTCCAAAAGTCTTCCCAGTGAATCTCCCTTTTAGCTTCCCTTCCACAAACCTGTAGAGAAAACAACATTCTTGGTGATAAGCTTGTAGTCTACAATGGAGAACTGTGGCAGTTCGATCTTTGTTACTCCTGTGACTGCATTATCACCACCACGCCAGTAAAATTCAATGTCATCTGTTGTATAGCCATCTATAAAAACAGAATTAAACAGTTAAGATACACATCTCTTCTGACATCATGGAGAACAGTCCAAAATTAAGTCAGAAAATAATCTCCAATATATTTCCAAACCTAAATTGTTGATAACATAATAGGTATAAACATACACACATACACAGGCAAGTCTAAATAGTTTCAAATGGCAAACTTAGGTGTATTTTAATTTTTTTGTGCAAAGATATATTGTATCAACATATTAACAAAGCAAACCTTTAAAAACAAATTAAGATTACACACATCCCATATATAAACAGTAACCATACATAGAGCTGTAAGGTAAATTCTGATCTCAAGGCTTTGTAAAACACTATGTGTTTGCTGTCATTTCAGCCTCTGGGCTGAAATATTGGCATGGGTAACAGAACATGACTAGGTCACCAAGAGATGCCTGGAAGAGATGCTTTTCAGTATTGGGCAACATGATCAGCATAGGAAAGAGGACAGTGGGAGCAATACAGCAAAGAGGGAAGTTCAGCATACACTTATCTCACGGTATTTTCTCTGTATGCTGTGTAGTTTATAATCTATGCATGAAAAGGACAAAGTCCAGTTCAAACCTATTCAGATTTTACTAAAACAACATCAATCTTTATCTGAAAATGGCTTGACTGCAATAAAAGACAGGGACATTCAGTGAGGCCATCGTAAGAAGCAACTGTAGCAGATGCAACAGCCATCACTCTGGATGGCAAAAAAACACCCACAAAAACACCAACCAAAAAAAAAAAAACAAACCCAAAATAGAAGACAGCACATGTTCACACAGTCATAAAACATATGCATGAAATCTGAATTTGGGTTCACCAAATGGCAGCTGAGCTATCTTGCATACTCCAGAGTGAGTATACAGAAGTGATCAGTAAACATTAGAAATAAATCTACTACAAAACCAGGAAGTAAGATATTCATGAAGGTTTGTAGCCTTTTAATGGTTTTTGTTGTTGAAAATTGTAAATAAAAAGAACCACCCGGAGACAGAATAATGACTATCACCTTTTGAGAAACTGACATAATAACATTAAATTTATATGACCTTAATTTTAAGTTCTCATTCACAAAGGACAAAATTATATACTAAACACCATTTTAGTGTGCTCAAACAGCACTTAATGTTAAGGAATAACGCAGATCATGCATTTTGTGAACATATCACATCTAGGTTGGATGCTGTTTCCATGCATCATTGATTTTTGGTAACAGAAGTATAATCCAGGTGTTCAGCAGCAGCGGAAGGCAAGTAAGTTTTAAGATATGAACCCAATAATCTTTAAGAACACCTAAACAACCATGAAAAACCTATCCAACATACAGCAAGATTTAAAGTATTTTGGTAGTTACATTCTTATAGCATGTTGATAGCAATTCCAGCTTTTTGTACATGTGACTCTTTCACTCTGTTTTTCATGGGGATAACAGCAAATCTAAAGTAGTCTGAAGGCAGAAAATGGAGGACTAATTTCAAGAATCAAAGCCATCTCATTCATTGAGGACAGATTTTGAATAGCTCATCAACATCCGGAATTCAAATGGAACTTGCACTACTTTCGAAGGTACTGACATGGACAACAAAACTGATGAAATAATAGATTTTTAGGGTGTTATTTTTGTGGAACAAATTCTTCCTTAACCTTTCCATTTAGCCAGAAGTTCACTGGCTGTAGCTGGTGGCATCAATCAAAGAAAAAAGACACTTGCATTTTCTGAATGAGCTTGAACAGTTAAGGGAGAATAAGCTCTACACTGTGGAACATAATATGCTTTTGACTTATCCAGAACTCCTGCAGTTTAACACTTAAAGTTTTAACACAGTTTAAATTCACATTGACAAATAGCTTACATCAATGGTCACTGATCTGTTTCCTGTTATACCAAGATGAGAATCAAAGGAATAACTGAACATAATCTGGACTAATAACTTGCCACAGTATTTAGCTTCCCTCCTGTGTTTAGATAGTACCACAAAAAGAATCTTATAGATACCATAATCTTTGCTTGTATTATATGCTACTTGTTCAGAGTCTAAAACTTGAGCGGTCTGAAAAGGAGACAAGATTAACATCTGCCACTAGAAGGCATATCCTCTGTAATAAAACAAGCATGGACCTTGACTCCACAATCATACTGACGCCTCTTACACACTTTGTGATACAAAGTATGTTCAAATCTGCACTTTTAATCATCATAACTCTCAGCCTTGAATTTGTCTCATGAAGATCAACACGTGATGGACTTTTGTCTTATAACATTTTTGCATAGGAAAACCTTCAGCACCACACATAAAATTCTCTCAGATAAAATTTACAACACAAAATTGTTGCATGTTGACCAAGAGATTCTGTATTTAGAGGTAAGAAAAAGAACAGCTTCAGCACAATCATTTCCAATAGCCAAGCGAGGCATCCTTACTTCAGCCTGTTAAGACTAATGTTAGAACTGATTTCACATTGTTGTGTAGTATCCATTAAATTATTTGAAGAGTCAAATTACAGACTTACCATGGAGACTGGAATTATTTTCTTCTTATGAGGAAAGAACGTATTTTGCTGCTTAAACATGATTTTCTAAGCCTGCTTAATTATATGAGAGCCTCCCTGCTTATCTCTTGTTTTTTTTTCAATTAACCTTGTTCTGTTTCCTTCACAGTATAAAGATACCAAAAGGTAGATGATGGAACAGCAAAATATTTTATTTCCTTCCAAAATGACCTGAAATACTTAGGTACTTCTAAGTATTGAACATTTATAGAAATGAGGAATACTTTTATTTAGTTACGTAATTGAGATTACCATAGTTTCTGAACTAACAGGTTTGAGCTGTTAAACACCACTTTATATTTGTCAAGTCTCATTCTAGACTTTCAGAGACAAAAATAAAATAGATCTAAAATAAAACAGAGAAAAATTAATAGATTGGCTGATCTTGAGATGTAAAAGCAAGTACATGTTATGAAAAATGCAAAAGAACATCCTTAAAGAGTTTAGAAAGAATTATATTGCATACCTTGTTGTGAGGGTTCACTCTTACTTTGCGATATTGCAAAGTTTTGCTGATATTCCATGACAAATCTACCCTGCCCTCCAACAGCAAGTTCCAGACTCCAATATCAGTTACTAAACTCAGCTGGATTAAGCAGGGTAATTTATTTAAATATATTGAATAGCAAATACCAACAATTACCTGTTGAGGAGAACTGAACTCCCTTTGAAAAAAATCTCACCCAAAAGTTCAAACTGAAGAATCCAAAATATGCAGGTCTGGGCTGCTCTGGGGACTCTGTGCAGAACTCCCTGCTGCTTAAGGTACTTACTCTGTGGGAATGCTAAGCTGAGACTTTGACACTGAATGATATGACTCGTTATTAGGTATCGGTAAGAAGAATTTCAGGAAGTCTTTTCAAGCTTTCATTAAAATACTTCTCTCTTTTCAAGAAGGATAAATTACCCCATTCATTTTATAACATAGAGAAGGAGAAAAAAGATTATTATAGTCATCTGCACATGAATGCTATTGTGTACTGCTAGAGTACCCAAAGATAATTGGATATAAGTCTAATATCTGCAAAACATCTGCCAGAAGAAAGAACGGGCCTATTCATGTCTCTAGTGGATGCTTTACTGATATTAAAGTCCAAATTACCTGTGGTTATAATAAAAAATGTCTGCAGGTATTTGGGACTCAAACCAACTCTACTTACAGGTCAAAATTATTTAAAGACCAACCAATTTTAAATAGTAATAAGAAGCCTAGAAAATAACCTGCGACTCTTGACAAGAAAAAGACAGAATTAATGAAAGTCAGCTCAATATTTCTACATTACCAGGTCACACGTCAGTAATGTAGAAAGTTAAGTATACTAAAACCAAAAATGCCACGTTGTTTTTGCAAGGACCTGGGTTTAGCACAGAATACTGTCTATTTGATTTAAATTGTAAAAGAACTGTTGTTTTACTATATATTAAATTGTCTATGTAGCACTGCTACCGGCACAGAGAATCTGATTGATTACTTTTTCCTTAATCATTTATTTATCAGCAGCAGCACAATCTACTTCACATTCAGAAAGTTCAATTTCTCATTTCTGACACGGATCACACATCGGCAGCCAACCAAATCAATACACTATCCTAGTAATATGGCACCCGTCTGGAGAGAAGCAAAGCATTCTCCATTCCCATTAACATGGACAGGGTGTTTCTCACTGCCTGTACTTCAAAGAACGACAGATCATGAATCACTGTAGAAGAAAAACAAAGAACTAGTAGAACATGAAATAAAACCACCTTCACATAGATACTACAAAAATACCTACTTTTTTCCAGTCTGTTTAAGAGAAGTCCAAATTTGGAAGTTCTTTAAATATAAACAACCTAAAATGAAAGCTGTACCATTACTGGCTGAGTATGGGAGTATTTAGACTCAAGACTGTCATCAGAAACAACAGACAATGGAAAAAAAGTAGCAACTTTTCTGTAAAACCACAGGTTTTAGCAGTAGGATTCACTGCCACTGAGTTTTTGTTTGTACATGACAGCTGGGCTATATTTTTAGATTGATATATATGTGCACATATACATCTACAGTATGCACACTGTGTAGGTAGGTACTCAAGTAGTCCATATTATTCACAATATGGTAGCACCTGGACACTAAAGATAACACATTTGTTTATTTATAAGAAAAAAAAAACACAACAACAAAACATGCACAATGGTGAAAATTTGGCTAAAACACAGAACGGATTCATTAACGCCATGCATTAAACTCACTCTGAGGTATTTGTCTTTTGCTCATCAACAACAGGCAAAAACTCATCTTACAGCACATTCTGGAATTAAATACTATTACATTATTATTATTATATTCATCTTATTATTATATACTATTATCTGGAATTAAAACCTATTAAAAAGCAACTATTTACAAGAAGAATAGCATACACACAGTAGAATTATATACATAGTATTTAAAAA